GAGAGAGAGAGAGAGAGAGAGAGAGAGAGAGAGAGAGAGAGAGAGAGAGAGAGAGAGAGAGAGAGAGAGATTACGAGTACCCTTGAATTGTCAGTGAGTGTAGCTGACCTTGCCTATCAGATGTATACATTCAAGAACAGAAGTAGCCTGCATACCCCGCCATGCCCTCCCCATTTGCCCCGCTGTGTGTGTGTTGTGTGTGTGTGTGTGTGTGTGTGTGTGTGTGTGTGTGTGTGCACGTGTGCACGCGCCCACATGCTCGCACACACACACACACACACACACACACACACACACAATTAAAATGCTTCGCTACCTGAACGTTTTATCCGGGTGAAGACCAGGCAGTGCTTGGCTGCTTACCTCCGTTGAGGTAAGCAGCGAAGCACTGCCTGGTCTTCAGCGGAATAAAACGCCCGGTCTGTATCTAGGCTGAAAGTTGCCCCAATTACGGTTATTTTGACCGGGGCGTTCCATTCGGGTGAAGACGGACGGTAGCCGTACGACCACCGAGTTTTTGTGCCAGATGTTCCCCAAACACACACACACACACACACTGCAAGATGAACATCCAGACTAGGGAACGCGCGCACAAAGACTGTCTTAAGTGAATCTGACCACTATTACGTTCAGATACATGTAAGATAGTCCTACTGTGAGCATACATGTCTTTCCATAGCTCACAGTAAACACTAATGCCTTCCTCAGGTAGTCAATCAATCAATCAATCAATCAGTCAATCAATCAACCAATCAATCAAGCAATCAACCAACCAACCAATCAACCAAACAATCGATCAACCAACCAATCAATCAACCAATCAATCAATCAACCAATGAATTAACCAATCAATCACATCAATGAGTCAAGCAGTCACTTAACCAATCAATCGGCTGATGGCGATCATTCAATCAATCAACCAATCAACAAACCAATGAATTAACCCAAATCAGTTAACCAATCAATTAACCAATCAATTAACCAATCAATTAACCAATCAATCAGTTAATTGATTGAACAACTCATTTATTCAAGCTGCGCATGAATGCACATAACATCTGTGCTCCCTATTCCAGCTGCTGAGTGTTTTGCGAAACTTGATGTCCATTGGTACATTCTCCTAAAAGCGTATAGGCTCTCCCTCTGCCTCACGCCCTTCTCCCTTACCCAGACTCGTAAGAGTGACAATCCCTACTTTACATAGCAATAATAATTTTATAATTTACATAATAATATTTTTTTTAATACTGGGACTAAATATACTACAACTATGAATACTACCTGAACTTCGTCAAAAATATGGTCGTTAGAAGTACTACTTCCACACTCCAATAAGAAAACTGGAAATATTAATTGAATTTGGTCGAAAATGAGGTCAGATACATCCACTGAGAAATAAATCCTTAAAAATACCTCTCGCAGTCCCCCACCCGATGTGGCCTTTGTTCAAGCTACAGACTCTCAAATTCTCAGTCTATCTAACTCATGATTCATCACACAGAAATGGCTCAAAACTTAAAAATACCCCTCAGGTTTCACATTGTCACAAAAATGGATCCAGAAAATACTTCTTATTTTATTCACAGTTTACAACTTTACATCCATCGCTTGGTATCCACTCGCCCTTCCTCCTTCCTTTTTCTCTCCCTCTCCTCTCCCCCTCCCCCTCCCCCTCCCCTTGCCCCCGATGCCTGTCTACCCTTCTCTCCCTACAGCTGGCCTGTTTGCAGTAATAAGTAATTACTGGATCACCCTTCTGGCCTCCGGAATACCCTTCCTCCTGGACTAATGTGTGCAGTAATTACTGGATTGCCCTTCTGGCCTCTGGGATACCCTTCCTCCTGGCCTAATGTGTGCAGTAACTACTGGATTACCCTTCTGGCCTCTGGGGTACCCTTCCTACTTGCCTAATGTCTGCAATAGTTACTGGATTACCCTTCTGGACTCTGTGCAGTAAT